TAATTTTATTTTCGTGTCTTTTTAAAATTTATTTTTATTTTCCTGCTGGGGGTGGGGAGTTTTAAGGCAGACATGCCGCAGAATGGGAATGAAAATCCTGCTCCTTGTTCCAGCCTCAGCGATGCTCTTTTCCCATGGCACACTCGGCATTCCAAGGAGAGCCCGGAGAACAGCTGGATTCAATCTCTGGGATTGATGATGCCACTGAACAACCCCAAATACCAAAAGGAGCTGAGCAGGGAAAAAAAAAATTATCTGGCACAGGGAGAGAAATTTTACCCATTTTTGGAAAAAAGAGGAAGGATATCAGTGAGAGAGGGAAAAAAAAAAAAACAGGAGAAAAATCCCGGCATCGTTTTTCCAGGGGGGATTGAGCTGAGCGTGGCCTTGCTTTTCCTGGGATGGATTTACCAGGAAAATGTGGGATTGCTCCCGAGGGGGTGACAGCGCTGGGCAGGGCCAGGAGTTGGATTTGAGGATCCTGGTGTGTCCCACCCTACTCGGGGTATTCCATGGTTTTGTGACAGGACACACTGGGAATAACCACCAGGAATTCCAACCCTGATTTGGGAATAGCCACCAGGAATTCCAAGCCCCCTTTGGGAATAACCACCAGGAATTCCAACCCCATTGTTGGGAATAACCATCAGGAATTCCAACCTTGACTTGGGAATAACCTACAGGAATTCCAACCCCATTGTTGGGAATAACCACCAGGAATTCCAACCCCATTGCTGGGAATAACCACCAGGAATTCCAACCCCATTGTTGGGAATAACCATCAGGAATTCCAACCTTGACTTGGGAATAACCTCCAGGAATTCCAAGCCCCCTTTGGGAATAACCACCAGGAATTCCAACCCCTCTGTTGGGAATAACCACCAGGAATTCCAGTTCCCTTTGGGAATAACCACCATAAATTCCAACCCCCTTTGTGAATAACCACTAGGAATTCCAAGCCCCCTTTGGGAATAACCACCAGGAATTCCAACCCTGACTTGGGAATAACCACCAGGAATTTCCCAGCCTCTCCCAGCAGCGCTGCTGGGAACGCCAGGCTCAGCTGAGGCTCTGCAAGGCTCTCACTGCTCCGGTCAGAATATTCCAGGTGGAATATTCGGCATGGAAATCCGCATTTCCCTGGCACCAGAGGCTGGAGGAGCTCGGGGCTCCTGGAGATCCTCGTGCAGAGGTGTGGGATCGGTGGGAAGGTCCCCGCAGCCCCTGCACAGGGAGGGAAAGGGAGCAGAGCTTTCCTTGGAGGAAAACCATCCTGATGTCCAGCCTCGAAAAAATCAGAATTTCCCTCCTTTCCAGCAAGGAATTCTCATGGAAAAGGAGCTGTCTGTGGTGGGGGCCCAGTTCCCACCCCACCCCAGGCTCCGTGGTTTTTAGGGGAACAATTCCTGTGATCCATGAGGGGAGTTTGCAATGTTTACAAATCCATATTTTAACAATTCCTTCGGAGGCTGACAATTCCTGGGTGCATTTCTCCAGGAAATTTTGTCTTGTTGGTTGTGTGTCCTTGAATGCTACAGGAAACACCTGGAAATCCCATCCTTGGATCCACCCTCTGGAGATTGCTGTTATCCCCATTTCCTGCCCAACCTTTGGCATTTTCCCCTCCCTTTTCAGCCTCGGCATTTAGGGGAAAACACCAAATCCCAGATTTTCTGCACATCCGAGGCGGGAATGGTGATTCCCGCCCATCCTAACGTGGTTTTCCCTTCTCTCCCAGGCATGAGGATCCTGGTCACGCTGCTGCTGGACACTCTGCCTATGTTAGGCAACGTCCTCCTGCTCTGCTTCTTCGTCTTCTTCATCTTTGGGATTGTCGGGGTCCAGCTCTGGGCAGGGCTGCTGAGGAACCGGTGCTTCCTAGACAGGAATTTTGCCATGTAAGTACAGCAAAACGGAAAATTCTCCACCTTTTTATTCCTTTTTTTCTCTCCACCTTTCTCTCCCTTTTCCTTCCTTCTCCAGCAGGGGATTTTTCTGTGCCCTGCTGGAAAAAATCCCAGCGCTCAGCAGGATTCTTTTTGTCTGGAAAAAATCCCATTTGTCAGCAATTTCCTGAGGGTTTTGTGAATTCCTGCTGCACCTGAAGGACGAGGATGGGAGTGGGCTGCATTAGCTCTGCCTGGGATCCCTGCCTCTGGGAGTTGCAGGATTTAGAATGAATTCCCAACTCTCCAAACAGTTCAGGTCACCGAGCACACCCCGACCCCTGGCAGGGGCTGGTGATGTGGAGATGCAGCTGAAACCCAGAGATAAATCCTTGCCAGGGATTTGAGATAAGAAACTGGATGTGAGGAGCATTAAAATTGTTTGGAGACAGCTCCGAGTGAGGCGTCAGGGATGGGCAGGACCTGAATCTGGAAAAAACCTCCAGGATCATCAAACCCAACTGCAAAGAGAATTTTCATTTGGGTTCTTCCAGGCTGGGCAGCCGTGTGGAGCAGCCCCTCTGAAAATAAACTTTTATTGCCCTGATGAGCCTCACCTGGGACCCCCAGCCCTGCCCAAGGCCCAGCTGAGCAATTTAAGCCCAGCCCAGGCTCTTAGTCCTGGTTGGGGCTGTGCTGCTGGTGTTTGGCTTTGCTCCTGAGCTCTCTGGGTAAATCCAGGGTCTGGCTCATCCTTTTCCTGCTGGGTTCAGAGTGGGATTTAGGTGCTGCTGGAGCTGGGATGGGCTCCTGGCTCGTCCCAGCCTTTGGGGCATCCCTTGCTGCTCCCTGAGCTGCCCCTTCCCGGGGTGAGGACACACCTGGATGAAAACCAAGCACGGAAAAGAGGGATTTTCCTGGAAAAGCCTTTCCAAAAGCTCCTGTCAGAGATGTCAGTGGCTCAGAGGTGAGGAAATGCCCCAGCCCAGCTCTTAGGGCAGCTCTGACTGCGAGAGGAGATGGAGCCTGCAATCACAGCCCTGGGTAATCATCTGCTGTCTGCGAGACAGGCAGGGATCATCCCTCAGGTCCTGCTCCTGCCTCTCACTGCTCCCTCCTGGGGCTCCCTCAGCCTCCCCCATCCTCTGGACCGGCTCTGGTGGTGTTTATTCATCCCAGCAGAGTGGGAAAATCCATGACCCTGCCATGGGCGTGATCCCACTCCCCCTGCCATGCCCCAAAACCCCTCGCCTGCACCCCCAGCATCAATTTGCTGCTCACCAAAACCCTCCACGCTCAGCTCCACCCCAAACCCAAACCCAACCGGCGCTGCCTGAGCCCTGCTTGGGTGGCCCCGGTGCTGTAATTAACTGCAGCCTGCCCCTCTCCTCTCTTGCAGTCGGGTTTTTAAACGCTCGGTGATTTTCTGCCAAGTGGAGCTTTCAAGATGAACCACAGGGGAAGCGTTCTCTAAGCACAGACATTAAGCAGCAGTTATGTAATGGCCATTAGCAGCATCAAAGGCCTCGCAGGATTTTCTTATCTGGGCTTGCTCCTTGTCTGGGAAGGGTTTGGGATGAGCTGTGCTTGAAGGGCTTTGTCTGGGATCTTCTCCTTCCCTCTGGGATGGGTTCTGCCAATCCCCCATAACCATCCTCTGGTTTATTGTGATGGAAGGTGAAGCATTCCAAAGGAATTTTGGGGAAAATGGGGTGCCCATGGGACAGGAAAATTTCAGCTTCAAGATCAGTGGGAGAAATGTGGGATTTTCTGGTGCCTTCACCCTGAGTGCTGCTGCTGGGTTGGGCTCTTTGCATTAATTTTAGACCTGAGAAAACCCAGCAATGATCCAGTCCCTGCATTTCCAGCTATCCCTGTTTTTTTGGAGCTCCGTGTGGAAGTTTGAGGGTCACGGGATTTTCTTATCAGGGCTTGCTCCTTGTCTGGGAAGGGTTTGGGATGAGCTGTGCTTGAAGGGCTTTGTCTGGGATCTTCTCCTTCCCTCTGGGATGGGTTCTGCCATTCCCCAGCTGTTGGGCTCTGCCCAGCTCCTCTGGTTTATTATCCTCTGGAAGTTGCAGCATTCCAAAGGAATTTGGGGAAAAAGGAGTGCCCATGGGGCAGGAAAATTCCAGCTTCCAACTCAGTGGGAGAAATGTGGGATTTTCTGGTGCCTTCACCCCGAGTGCTGCTGCTGGGTTGGACTTTTAGCATTAATTTTAGACCAGAGAAACCCAGCAATGATCCAGTCCCTGCATTTCCAGCTATCCCTGTTTCCTGGAGCTTGGTTTTAGCGGAGTTTCAGGGAATCCAGATGGAACTATTCCCATTTTATTTTATCATTTCTGACTCATTCTCTCACCCAGGTGTCAGGCCATGGTTTCCCCCCCTGCAGTGGCTCTTAACACACCAGCAGCAAATTGTAAAGGGAAAAAAAGGCATGGAATGACCTGGAAAACACTTCAGGGTTCCATCTTCCTGCTGTTGGACAGATCATGGAATCCTGCAATGGGCTGGCTTGGAAAGGACTTTAAAAATTCTCATTCCATCCCCTACCTTGGGCAGGGACACCTTCCCCCATCCCAGGCTGCTCCAGCCTGGCCTCCAACACATCCAGGGCTGGAAAATCCAAATTCCTCAGGGCACAGAGATTTCCCAGCCCTTCAGGAGGGGCTGAGATCCTGGCTCTGATTTCCTCTACAGCCCTGGAGACAGAAAAAACCCGAATTATTGGAGAGTCTCCCCTTGGTGCTGCTGCCAAACCCTCCCAGCTGAAACCAAAACTGCTTTAAACAGAGGATCTGGATAAAACCCAGGGGTCAGCAAGGCAGGGTCCTAACCCCAAATTTTCTGGATGAAAGGAGGTGTAAGTGAGCTCCCAAGCAGCTGCTTCAAATCCAGCTTTGCCCTGCTGTGTTCTGCCCTGCAGCTTCCTGCGCCTTCAGCTCTTCCCGAGGCATCGGGTGGAAGGACTGACTTTGATTTTTGCCATCATTCTTCTTTCCCCATGGAAACCTTTTCTTTTCCATCCCCCTTGGAAGTTGGCGGCTCAGAGTAAAGCAACTATTTTTAAGCCGAGCTCATTGTGAGAGAAATTTGGGGACTTTTTGGAGGTGCTTTGGGAATTTCTGCTTTTCTCTCTCTGCCTTTCAGAGCTGTGCTGTTGGAGGGCTGGAATGAGGTTATTTAAGGATTTTTAGTGGGGATTCTGAAGGAATTGCTGGGTTGTCGCAGGAGTGGGTTGGAACTGGGTCTCTGCTGGTTGGGACATGGGAGAATCTTTCCCTCCTCCCAAAAATGATCCTTCAAAACCTGGGATTGCATGGAACAGCAGCACCAGGACGGGCTGTGAGGGATGCCAGGAGATCCTGGCCCTGGGAGCTGCAGGAAAAACTCCCCAAGGATTCTCTGGTGGGAAGCAGGAAGGTTTGGGGTGCTCTGCTGGGAAGGACAAGCCGAGCCAGCAGCTCCTGGGTGACATCTCCAGGATGGTTTTTCTTCTCCCCCTGGGGCTCCTTCCCACCCTCCTGAGCTGCTCCGGGTGGAAATCAAGGAATTGGGTCAGGCCCAGCCTGTCTGGGCTCTTCTCCTGGGGCTGCTGGGGTGCAGAGCAGCATTTTCCAGGCCAGGAGCCTTTCAAGGAGCTCCGTGGCTGGGAAGGAGGAGAGGGGAGGGAGCTGGGAAGTGTTTTGTGTTTCTCTGCTGCCTCGGGACACTTGTGGTGTGACTTTTCACTGGGGAGCTGCTCGGTGTTGTTCTGCCTTTGGCTCCTGGGAGCAGGGAATTTGTCTGAGAGGTGTTTAATTGCTCAGCAGGATTCCCTCGGAAAGCAGAGAATTCATCCCGAGGGCTGAGCTCCTGCCTCCTCCTCCTCTTCCTCCCTTTCCTCCCTGCTCCCCCAGCTTGGCATGTGTGTATGGGATGGATGGGCTGGGAAAGCTTCCCCTGGGAGAGGCTGGAGCAGAGGATAATCCAGTAACAGTGGGAGAAAAGTGGATTTTCCTGCCCCTCTCTTGTCCTTCCTGCACATGGACATGCCGAGGGACAGAGAAAGGGAATTCTGGAGATGTGCTGGGAAAAGCTGGGAGAGGGGAGTCAGTCCTCTCTGCTGGGATAACAGATCCATCCTGGGGCTTGGCTTCTCCTGTCTTTCCCCCAGAGCTCTCCTGATTAGAGGGTTCATTAGCGTTAATGAGTGATTCGTTTCTACCTGTTGTCAAGGAACAGGGAAGTCAGGAAGGAGTGGAAGGTCCTGGCAGAACTCATCTGTTTATTTGGGGGATATTGGGGATTCCCTCATTCTGCAGCATTTTTCTTTCTCCTTCTTGCTCTCCTTTCTTCTTTCCCCTTTTTTGGTTTTGCCAGGGGGAAAAAAAAATAAAAAATAAAAAGAGGGAAAAGCTTTTAAGAAAAGGTCTGAAATTTGCAGTGTTTGCTGCCAGTTCGGGTCCCTTCCTCCCTCATTGGGAGCTTCCCACAGGAGTGGCTCCTTCCCAGTGGGAACAGGGAAAGGCTAGGCAGAAAGTGCCCCCCAGGTGATTGATTTTGTCATAGGGACAACTTTTAATTCAGAAATGTTTCTGGGGACAGCTGCAAAAGCGAGGAGAGCAGAGGAGAGGGAGGATGAAATCCTTCAGGCAGCAGCAGAACCGAGCCAGGCTGCACCCACCCCTCCCAGCAGAGCTGGTTTTTGTTTTCCTGCTCGGATTTTCCTCTCCCAGTCACCAAACTGCTCCAGATTCGTGCCCAGATCTTCTCCGTGCAGCTCCTTAGACCCCAGGTGGGGCTCTGTGTCCTCAGGGAGCCGTTCTTCATCCCAGAACTTCCCAAATCTGGGATGCACGGAGCCTCTCAAGCTGTGGGTGCCTCACTGCAGTGGGATGGGGACTGATCCTGTAGTTTGCCTTTTGGGAGCTGAAGTCACTTCTCAGGTGTCTCCTCTCTGCTCCTTGCTTCTTTCCCCGAATTCTCCAGCTCTTCCCAAGTTTTCCTGCATCTTGGTGTGTTTTAATCCTCTGTTTAATCCTCCCAGTGTGTGGCACTGCTGGCTGGTGTCTGATGCTCTCCCAAAGGGCTGCTGCAGCTCCCGGCCCGTTCTCCAGCCTGTTTCATATGGAAATTTCCTCCCAGGGAAGCCAGCTGGTGGGAGGGCAAGGAAAAGGCTTGGGGAGGAAAAACATCTTCCAGGTTTTTGTAGAATCCAAAGCCCAGAAACAGCGCGGGTGATGTCACAGTTTAGTCTGGAGCTGTGGGGTGTGCGAGGAGGAGCTGCTGCTGAACACAAAGAATTCCCAGGCAACAATTCCCAATTCCCAGGACTTGCTCCTCTTCCCTCTCCCATTCCTGAAGCTGATGAACCCTCCATGCCCACCTATGGTAATTGGATCATGGAACAGAACCAAATTCCCCAGGGAAGGCGCTGAGGGCTGATTTCCCTCAGCTCTGCCCTGCAGCAATTGTTCTCTCCTTACAGTGCAGCCGCAGAGCGATTCCTGCTTGGCTCCAGGGTTTTGGGGAGCAATTCCAAGCAATTGTCTGGAATAACACTTGTTAAAGCCAAATCTCTTCACCAGATAGGGACGTTCAGAGAGAGATAAAAATAGAGCTGTCCTGGCTGGAAGAATTACCTGGTTATCTTCTGCCCACATCTTCTATAATGTGTGTGTTGCCTGTCCCTTATCTCCGGCTGATTATGGAGCTGGGAAAACACTGGATTAAGTTGGCTCTGGAGCAATGCAGCTCCTCAGCTGGGTGCTGCAGGCTCTCACCAACACCAGAAAGTGCCAGACCTGGGACACAACTCGGGGAAAAGCAGCTCCTGCCCTGCTGCAATTCCAGCGATTCCTTATCCCGGCTGGGACAGAGCCATGGGCTTTATCCAAGCCAGTTCCATCCGAAATGCAGCAAGCACGTGCTGTTCCCATTAATGTGAGATCTTCCTTTTTTTGTAGAGCTACAGAGGGAGTGGGAGATGGCCTCTGGCTGGGTTTCTCCTTGTGGGAGCTCAGCCCCTCATCAGAGACGTCCCGAGGGACACAATTATTGGGCAGCTGCTCTGCCACCCAAAGAAACATCTGCAAATCCTTCCAGAGAGCCCAAAAGCTCCCTGGATTTTGGGGGAGAACCTGATCCGCTGGGATTTTCTCTCCATCCCCTCTCACTTCATGCTTTTACCTGCTCTGTTTGCTTGTGGGGGAAACTCAGACTGGTCTTTACTGGGAGATCAGCAGGGCCTTCCAGGGTGTAAAATTTGGTTTGTAAATTTTGACAGGGAATTGCTGAAGGGATAGCAACCAGCACTTTTTCCTGCTGCTAAAGTCAGGGATGAGCCTTTTTTTTTTTTTTCCTCATTGTCTTAGTTTGAAAAGACAGGAGTCTGTGAAGGAGGGCAAAAGCCTCCTGTGAAATGGAAAAGGTAAACCCCCTCCCTCCGAAATACCACAATTTTGAAATTAAAAGGCTTTCGGGCAAAGATATGGGAATGGGATTAACAGTTTTTTACTAGGAAAAACTAAATAAAATTTAAAAAAAATGTAATTAGTACAAACAAAACTGGTGATGGAGTCAGAAACCTGATACCCTGAGGAGTCAGGGTGTTGGGAATAGTCCAGTGAAATGGTGGCTGCTCCTCCTGGAGGGGCAGATGGAATGCTGCTGGAGCGGGGATCTGGAGAAGGATGGAGTTTTCTCTGAAGGTCTTGGGGATGGAGGAGCTGGGCCTGGTCTTCCTCTGGGGATCCAGCAGGGAAGAAGCTGCTCCTCTGGGAATCCAGTGAAGGGCTGCTCTGGTGTCCCAAAAATGCTGATTTTATGCAGGTAGGAATGCTTGGCTCCTCCCTCTGGGCGGAGCATCTCACCATGGGCTGATGGAACTTTACCGTGCAGGGAGTCATTAATGGCTCATTAACAGACGATATCTCCCCGGAGGGAGACATTGTTCTTGGGAGAGATAAGAAACCTGCCCCACCTCCAACAGATGGCAAATAGAATCCATGCTGATCTTACAAGCCAGGACACTCATCCTTTTCCTTCTTCTCCCCCTTTTCCAGGACGTACAACCTGACCTTCCTTCACCCCTACTACCGGCCGGACGAGGCGGAGGAGAACCCCTTCATCTGCTCCTCGCACCGGGAGAACGGCATGCAGAGGTGCTCCAACATTCCCAGCAGGAAGGAGTCCAAGGTGGAGTGCACCCTGAGCATGGAGTCCTACAGCCCCAGCCTGGCCAGCCCCGAGCCCAGCAGGAACTCCTGCATCAACTGGAACCAGTACTACAACATCTGCATGGCCGGGGACGTCAACCCCCACAACGGGGCCATCAATTTTGATAATATTGGATATGCCTGGATTGCTATTTTTCAGGTAGGATTCTCCCAGTAATGGGTTTTTTTTTTCCTGGGTTTTTTTTTCCTGTTGATTTCCTGGTTTTTTTCCTGGTTTTGGGTTGGTCGTTTTTTGCTCGGGAAGGTTTTGGCGAATGCAGCAAAGTTGGATGGAATTTTCTCAGCCCTGAGTGAAGCTGCAAATAAGGAAATGGGGAATAAATGAATCAGGCAAGAAATGGTGCAAAAGAGGGTTTGGAGAGAAGAAACTTTTATTTTGAAAACATTTGAAAAGAGGGGAAAGAACTTCTGGAAGCAGAAAAACTCATGGCAGGTTCCACCTCTGCAGATCAGATAAATCCCAGGGATTTTTGGGAGGAGGGTCTTCGTTGTTGGAGTATCAGGAAACTGAAAGTGCTGTTGAGGTTTTTGAGCAAGGTTTAATTTCATGCTAAAATTAAGGAAGCTGGCGTGGCTTAGGCTTGGTTTTAAATCACAGAGTGAGCCTGGTGAGCACGGAATGCTGGAAGGGGGAACAATCTGTTCTGGCCAAAATTCCTGAGAGGAAATTCTGCCCCCAGGGAATCTCAGTCTCTTTTGAGGCACTTCAGAAAAGACCAAAGTGCTTCTCACGGAGACTGGGGGAGATTTTTCAGGTGATAAGACTCCTCATAAGGGAAGGATTTTCCACGGATTTTCATGTCCAGAGGCTGTGGTTTCCCAGGCTGCCCCAGCTGGAAGATCCCTGTGTTCTTTCCCATTTTTAACAGGCACTTCCTGGTGTTACAGCATTTCTTTGGCTCTGCTGGGTGTCCTGGTTGATTCAGTCCCCCTGAAGTGGAGGTGACATCTGTTCCTAGAGCAGAATTCTCCTTTTAGCTTTGTTAATGAGGAATAATTACTCATCCAGAGCTCTGCGTTTCATTTACGGATTTCCTCCCAGTTCCATGTTATCCATGAAGTTCATCACTTCCAGCTTTCACCTGGGGAATGTTTGCTCTGAGCACCTTCCCTGCTGCCCTCGGGTCACAGTGCTGGTGCCAGAGGCTCAGAACCAAATCCAAAGGGGTTCAGGCACATCCCACTGGGATCTGAATCCCAATTCTCCCATTGGGAAAATGCTTTGGAATTAGTGAGGAAGAGAGGAGCTGCTGGCTGCCAGTGAGTGCTGAATAAAGGGAAGAGAGGGAGTTCTCCTTTTCCTGATCTTTGATGGATCTGAGGGATGTTCCCAGGAGATCCCACCTGATTCCTTTTCATGGGAAAAGGACACTGAGGAGGAGCAGGAGCTTCTCCAGAGGGGTCCTGCTGCCTTTTCCCTTCCCGAGCCATTTTCCAGGCTGCAAAGCTTCATTCCATTGGATTTCCTCCTCCTTAAAAGGCTCAGTTGAATTTCAGGAAGGACCCCCAGCCCCAGGAGAGGTTTCAGCTGATTCCTTTGGGCAGCACAGCATCTGGCAAAGTGGGATCTCGTGTCCTCAGATGGTTTTGGCAGCTGCCAGGAGGTCGATGATTGGTTTTAGCACTGCTCAGGCCATCCAAGGGCTCCAGAGGAATTCTGGCCAAAAACTCTCTTCACGTGTTTATTCCTGCTGCAAGTCAGGGCTCGTTTTTTAGGAGCTGAGAATGATTTAATTCCAGGTAAAGAGGGCAGCAAGGTGCTGGCTCAGCCTGGATGTGGGAAATCATCAGCGCAGGAGGCGAGGCGCTAAATCCAAACAATTGCTGGAAGCAGGGAACATGTAGCAAATAAATCCATGGAATTGTGGCTGGACAGCACCAGGTCAGATGGGATGAGGGCTCTGAGGAAGCAGTGCAGAAAGTCCAGCTGATGGATTTAGGAGCTCTGAGCTCCCCTGGCGCTCGGTGTTGAGTTGCTGGGACGAGGCAGGGCCGGTTGTGTCGAGCCGTGGTTCTGCAGGATGGTGAATCCGTGGCTTTGTGCAGGAATTCTGGTGTGGGGAGAGCCCTGAGGGCTGCCAGATCTCCAGTGGGAATTGTGGTGAGCTCAGGTGGCTGCCGGACAGAGCTTCCCTCAGGATTTATCCCAAGTGAGCCGGGAATCTTGGCTTGTCCAGCCATGGCGGGAGCTGACAGGAAAGGGGGGAGAGACTCTTGGAAAGGGTCTGGAGTGGCTGGAGCAGCTTCCCACTGGCAGAGGGATGGATGGATGGGATCTTGGGGGGGATGGGGAGGCCCTGGCAGGGGTGGAATCAGCCCTGGGAGCGTCCAAGGCCAGGCTGGGATGGTGGGAAGTGTCCCTGCCTGTCGCTACAGGACACGTGGAAGCACGACGCGAGCCACTGCTGTTTGCAAGGTAAAGAAGGAGGTTTATTCTCCGACTCCAACTTTTATACTTTTCCAAAGGTGACAGTGGATTGGAGAGTGAATGTGCCACCTGTCCAATGACATTGGACAAACCACCAGTACATCAAGTTTCTCCACCCCTATGGAGGAATTCAAAACAATAGGTTGTTTACAGAAAGTTGTGTGAGAAAGTTTTCTAACAGACTGTAAGATCAGAAGGCTTTAGAGAATCTTAAGAATCAGGGTGACACCTGCCCAGGGCAGGGGTGGCACTGGATGGGCTTGAAGGTCCCTTCCAACCGCACCCATTCCATGGTTCCATGGTGTCGTGTGGTTTAGGAGCTGTCAGAAGGGAGGGGGATGAAATGAGCCCCACAGGGGAGATCCAGGAGGAACTTTGCAAGTGCCCACGAGTTTCCAAGGGCAGTTTGATACCGTTCAGACCACGAATAAACCAAAAGCAGAGTTTGCAGAAATTCTGAAGATTTCCACTCCAGAACATCCAGCAAACTCTGCCCCAAGGATGGGTGAGCTCTTCCAGCTGCCAGAACTGAGATTTTAAAAGACATTTCTTTCAGTGGGAGTGACCCTGAACGTCCCAGAGCTGGGAGAGGTGACAGCAGGAAAACAGGGAAATGTGTTGTCCACCTTCCGAGGAGAACTCAGAGACAGGAGAACCTGGTGCAAATAAAAAAATTAAAATAACCAAGGGAATGGCTGCATCCCTGAGTGCTGTAAAGGATGATAATTCCTTATGTAATCCTGAAAGTGATTCATGTTTTGCTTCCCCTCATTTGTTGTGCAAGAGGCTAATTCGTGTCTGTATTTGTTACAAAGGCACGTTCTATGGCAAATTAGGTGAACTAATTAGCTTATTACAGACTAAATGAAAGGAGATGGAACCTAAATTAACTGTGAGGTTTGGCATGATATGAGGATCCCTTTATTGCACATGAATTCCAGCCCCAACAATCCGAGCAGTAATTACAGGTATTGTTGTCGCACGGCAGATGATGAATTACCCACCTCGACAAAAGTCCAATTTAATTGGAATTACTGACAGTCCCAGTGGAGGAAACAAAACCTTCCCACCTCCCTGACCTGCAGCCTTGGGGTGGCCAGGCCTGAGTGCAGAAATCCTGATAAAACAAAAAGGGATTGGGAGGCTGGAAGTTTGGCAAGGGAAGATACGTTAGGCTGCTTTGCAAAGCAGAGAAACTTTGAGCGGATAATTTCACGTAGGATTTGTAGGAAAGCAAGGCCTCCACTCACACTTTACTCCAGGAGTGATGCTCCTGGCAGAAGTTGAAGGAAAAGGCAGACCCAGGCAGATCCAGGAATGGTTTTCCCATTGGCTGCAGCGCTGTCCAAAGGTGCTGTTAATCCCCTTGCTCTGCCCCCTCCCAAGACTTCTGCAGAATTTGGGACAGAACCAAAAAGCTGGAAAGGAAGGGAAAGGTCTGAGGTTTCCAGCTGTGCCCAAAGTAATTTCGAGGCTGTGTTTTCAGGAGCTGTCACACTGGCTGCTCGTGTTTTTAGTGTTCATTGAGCAGAGAAATTTGGGATTCGAGACCAAAAGGAATTTTTTTCCTCCAATGGCTCAGCCTTTAAATTGGAGAGTGTGTCAACAACGCTTCTCTGTGCTGAATTTGGCAAGAAAAGAGTTTGGGAGCTTTTCATTCCCACTGCTTGGAGATGATGCTTTGTCACTCAACTCGAATCTGTTTTGGATCACCGAAAATATTTCCCTGGAAATGACGGGGTTTGAGCTCTGTTGCTGTTGCTTTTTTTAATTTGGTCAGCCAAATAAACAGCACTTGCTGCATTTGAAGAGCTCTCAGCCTGAATACCCCAGCTAAAAATATCCAGCCCTTTTCAAGCAGCTCGGAGAGTGCTTCCAAGAGGGATTTGTTGCCTTTGGAAAATTTTTGTTTTGAAGGTTGGGAGGAGTTGTCTCGTGTAGGACAGGGCAGAGAGGCCACCCTGATGCCAGGAGTGGTCCCATAACCTGTGGGGGTGCTGGATGGAATTAAAGCCTCCTGTAGATGAAGTGTGGACTTCCAAACCTCTGGAGTTTTTGGGAGAGTTTCATCCAACCTCGGTGGTGGATTCCTGTGTTTGGAGTAGGAAGAGGGGTCCTGCAGCAGGTCTTGGCCTGAACTGGAGTCCTGTCAGGGGAGCAAAAAGCTGCTGGTTTTGAGGAGCATCAACAACTGCTCCAAGGGAACGGCTGGAGTGGTGTCAGGGAGATTTAGGTTGGATTTTAGGGAAAGGTTCTTCAGGGAACAGCTCCCCAGGGAATGGGCACGGCCCCGAGGCTGCCAGAGCTGCAGGGGGGTTTGGACACCACCCCAGGCGTGCCCAGGGTGGGGTTTTGGGGTGTCAGGCTTGAACTCTGCTCCTTCCAGCTCAGGATATTCCAAAAATCCACAATTCTCACAGGGAAATCTCACTTTGCTTCGGTTGCCCCAATTCTGCTCCGTGACCTCTCCCCCAAGCCCAAGGTGTGGCTCTTCCCCCTGAATTCCCAGCCTGGCACCCCCATCCTCCTGGACAGGATTTGGAATCGGCTGGAAGCAAAGATCTCAGCCTGCCTTTCCTTCCTCCCCAGAAATCTGGGATTTGGGGGCTCCCTGTGCCCGCAGTGCTGCAGCTGAGCAGTTCAGCCCCTTCCCTTTGCCAAGGATCCTCCACAAACCACGGGGACACGGGATCATCATCCCAGCAAACCAA